TACAATACGGAAGTACCCCAAAGAGTCTCGAGCAGAATCGAGAAATAGATAAATTGATGGAGAAATTTGAGCTAAGTGATGGAGGAAAGTGAGACAGGGCAATTGATGAAGTTCAGAGAGGCAGGGTGAAACTAGGATCTGATGCAGAGTGGGAGGCAATATGAGACGGTGATTTAAAGCAGATTATTTTACACTATTTTCCAAACTAGTATCGCGATAATAGTAGACTATGAAAAATTTTAAGTAAATGTGAATGGGTTTGTTTTTAATAAAATCATTTTTTGTAAGACAAAATTAACAGCGTTTATATACTTATTTTATGCATAAGACGGATGCCAATAAATGAATAGCTTATATGTTTGCACATTTTCTTTGGTTTACATTAATTTTGAAAAATACCTCAACTCAAAGGATTTGACTCGTCATTTTACCCACCCCACAAATGAGTACTTATTAATCTGCAGTACACTTTCTTCTTTTTTCAAAAATAAGGGGAGGGGTTAAGATTTATTTGACATAAAAATAAACCGTAGTAACGTTAGAAGTAGCTCACCCTGCAATAACGAGTTGATATAAGTTTGTACCAAAGGTGCTGAATAAGCCGACAAGATAAGTACAGAAGTGTTAAGCAATTTTGCACCATTGGTGCAGAATAATTCTGCATATATATTACAACCATAAAATTTTACACCAATAGTGTAGGATAAGGCGACAAAATAACCATCTAATTTTGACACAATTCAAATTTTTGTCCTGAATTTTTGAAATCCTGGTGTCAAATTTTTGAAATTATTTCTGTTAGTTATTCTGCACATTTGGTGCGTTTTCCATCAGTACTCCTGTTTGTTTACCACCATTTTAGTAAACCGTTTGTTCGATACTAACGGTGCTACTTATTCCTTTGTAGTCCTTTCACGATCGATCTTCCGAATTGGATCGCACCATTTGCGCTACGAATTGCTAGATACCAACGGTGCGACTAATTGATTCATTAATGGACAAGGGGATTTTTAATTAGCATCAATTGATGCAAAAATATCGCTAACAGACAGACAGACAGACGGACGGACAAGAGGAATTCAATAGCTCTCATGCTACGCAGGGTGAGCTAATAAATAAATATTAATTTAGATTTTTAATGCAATTAACTTTCCTTTTCTGCATGATTAGCTAAAACCTAGTCGTAAATTAGTCTGTAATATAAATCCACAGTTTTTATGATGTGATAAATTGTGATAATACGGATTTACGTATAGATTTTACTATATTTTTGATACACCGTTAGATAAGAAAACCTTGTAATTTTATTGATAAATGATATTTTATGAATTATGAAAATGCCCCAAATAACCAAAAATTGTAACAATTTAAGAGGCAAGAGGATACAGGAGACAAGCACTGGCTCAGTTTCTACCCATGACGGCCAAAATTTGGAAAGCCTTGTCGAGAAGACGTCGCTTCAACAATTTTATAAATAATGATATGTATTTGATGATTTAACTTGAGCAATTGGAATAAATTCGTGCGTTGTTAAAAAAATTGGAAAAATGCATGCACCCTTTGCCCAAATTCGTAGGACGTTTGTAGAAAATTGAATTATTTATGAATTTCGTCTTTAATTTACTGAAATAATAAACTCGAAATATTTTCTGACCTTTCACAAACGTGGGCATCAGGTTTTACGACTTCCTTCAGTCCTGGGTACTTCAGCCGGTTAACTCCCCTGCACCAGCATTTCTTCCTTGTTTTCGTACTCGGCTTCCACTTCAAAAAGTTTTTGCAACCCTTTTTTGCATGTTTGCATATTTCGGGCATTGTACCGGATGACAGACAACGTCACCAAAAGGGAGGAACCCTGCCACGAAAAATTAACTTCAAATCAAATGAATCAAGATACGATTTAAATCAATAATTTGATCTTCGTCGTCTACTTATATATTGCCATTGCCATACATCCGCTTTCCTCTAATACAGTAAAGTAAAATTAAGATTTCGCTTACCAGTTGACCAGAGGAAGTTGAGACGATGAGATGTCGAGAAGTTGGATATTGAAATTCTGGGGATTTGGGCGAAGGTGCATGTGAGACGAATATTTGAAGAATAACAAACAAGAATATGCTCAATTTTATTTTTATTACATGTTATGTAAGTAAGCATATTCGAATATATTTCATGTGGGCTGGACATTCATAGTCATTCGTCAAATGGGGGCTGAAGGCGTCCAAAAATGTGGCTTAGGTAGAAGGTTGTGCTATATTATTGCAGGTGTAGGAGGGGTAATGAATGCGTAATGAGTGCCAAAATTAAGATTCGCACAGTTTTTGCTTTTAATAAATGGGTACATTTCCCGTATTGGAACCAAGTGTACACCTTTGTAGTAGGACAACAGGTGAAAGTAGGTGCATCCAATAAATGAGTCGAATGGTTGGCAACCTTGCCACTCACTTTTAAAAAACGTGGAATAAAATTGGACCACAAATTATATGAACATATTACAAAATCATTTATTAAAAAAATTGATTCGACTGATGAAATGTGAATTGGATTGCAGAAATGATTTATTTTTGATGAAAATCAAGTAGAAAATGGTTATGATACAAGAAATGTACAGCTTGAATTTACACGGGTGAAAATGATATCAGTTATTTGGAGGCATCGATAAGTCGTCGGAGAGACTTGAAGGCGTTGATCCTGCCTTCGCCGTGATGATGGTTGGGAAACTGATTGTCTGGAACTCCGCTGCAGATCTTTCCCATGTCGACGAGGTCCTGGTCAACCCCACCCCGCATGTGGGCCGTCACATTTCCAAAGCTGATGCTCGGGTTGTAGGCGAGGAGGAGAGAGGTCAGTCCGGCGGCGTGGGGGCAGGCCATGCTCGTCCCGGAGAGGGCTCGATAAGCATCGTCAGCCGTGTTGTAGGCGGAAAGGACGTTGGATCCTGGCGCAGAAATGTCGGGCTTCATTCTTCCGTCGGTTGTGGGGCCGACGGAGGAGAAGGAAGACAACTCATCGGTGACCGTAGTTGAACCCACGCCAATCACGTTCCGATCTCCGGGTGAGTTGGCCGTGTTGCAGGATGGGCCAGAATTTCCGATGGAGAAAAGTGGGATGATGTTAGCCGTGTGGAAAGCAGCGATTGCACCATCAAACCTGATGGATTGAAAAGTTGAAAATAGATAGTCATAAAAAACTGGGCATTAGTAAAGTAAATTTAATTGAATTTAGACTCACCAAGTAGCACCGCGACCACCTCCCCAACTGTTAGAAACGAGATGTGGAGCCTTGCTGCAGTCTGGGGCACTTCCGTCGGGACGCGTTGGACACGTGATGAATTGGGCGCATGCCAAAAGGGCGTTCTGGGCACAAGATGAAGTTGCACATCCGCGACAGGAAGTCCATTTAGCATCTGGGTAGACCCCGATCCCTCCAGCGCCACAGATCGTCCCGGTCGTGTGAGTACCGTGACCGTTGATGTCCATGGGCAACGCGTTGGCATCGTAGGGGTCGAACCATCCATATTCTCCTAACCAGTTGGCTCTCAAGGCTTCGTGGGTGTGTCGAGCTCCAGTGTCAATTGTTGACACCACGATTTGCGACGCTTTAGTCGTGGATCCCAAAAGTTCCCGAGCTTCGGCCGCCTGAATTTTCTTGACGCCCCATTCGCCCGATGGATCTTGTCTTCCACGTAAAATTGGCCCCTCGACGATCGTGTCGAGTTCAATGATTTCCTCCAACTCCAAACTCTTGACTTCGTTGAAGGAGGCGAGGACCATGATCAAGTCCATCGTGGCTCCCTTGACGTAAACCTGGTTCGTGATCCACAGGGATTTGAACTCGAATCGACCCTGGAGATAGGACAGGACGTTGGACTGAACACGACCTGCGAGGCGGACGAGGGCAGAGTTCATGGCGTCAAGTCGATCTTCTCGAGTGTCGAATCGGGTGTCCTCAATCGCTTGCAATGTTTCAGCCGTGCTTTCCTGAAAGGTGACGAAAATGTCGGCAGTTTCGGCTTGTTTGGCTGCTCGGAGGAGACGGTAGTCGATTTTGTCGCCATTTTCAGGTCGGCCTTGCGCCAATGCGACGAGTACAAGTACCAGAAGTAGCTTCATTTTCGAGTGAAAGTGTTTCGTAGTTTTTGTTTCTGTTATTTGAAGTTGTGGTTAATATTTCTTTGAAGTGATGAATGATACTCTACTCCAAAGTTTGGGTGCTTTTTATACCAAAAAATTTCATTGTCTTGTTCTCATTGCGTATCAAAGTTTTTGAACTTTACATTAATTTTTTCTATTATTTTTCCACTGTGAACTTAATGATTAAACGATAATATGATAAGCATTGTTCCGATGCGTGACTTTCGTTGAACCTGAAAATTCGCGATAATATTCAAATATGTACATTCTGCTCCACATATTCCTTGCACAATGCGTAATACGAGTGCGACATATGTATGTTTTTTTTGCAATTATCTTGTTGCATTTCCGACACAGGTTGTTGGCCGTAAAATGATCAATAATCAATTCAGTCGCATTTACAGAGTAGTTGGGTTTGGGTAAGCTGCCAATGTAAATATTTAGTCTGGATAATAAGACAACTGAATAATACGCAATGATTGATGATAAGCCCGGGTTGAATAAATTTCGTCCCATTGATGATCTCCGAGTCAAGTGGTTACCAGAAAAATAAAAATTGTGTACATTTATATATGCATGAAATAAGAAAATAATGCAATCCCTATCTTTTGAGGAAGGGAGAGATTATATAACTTTGAAATACATCATAAGGACTATCTGTACAAGGCTGGAAAGTTATGTAGACATTTCAGAGAGAAATTTCCCAAGGTAGACCAAATATTTGTATGCAGTTTTTTATAAATCTACATGCAAAAGGTTAATCACTCCGTATACTTAGGGATCTTATCAATTTAGCTTAAAAATTCCGGAATACTTAATTTATTATTTTGAATATTATCCAGAATTTATTTATAATTTGTCACCGAAGATAGAACAGTGTAGTTGAACTGCTCAATATATGCGATGATTTGAGAAAAATATACAATACAATACAAAATAAGACAGTTTTGAAAATTATTTATGAAAGGTCGCAGGTGACATGCTTTTATACTTCTTTTTTGCAAAATTGTGTATGGGTAAAATAAAAATTAATAGAAGTTATGAATAATAATAAAATGACCAAAAATATGATAAAATAAAGATCAATAACTAGTGCATTCCAAGAGCTACTAGTAAATACTGTGTCCTCAGAATCCACGCATTCTTCTTCAAAAATATGAATTTGTTGAATTTAGTTCACTATCAACTTTTTTTTTTTTTTTACACATAATCAATGTTCACTAGATTTTTTTAAATTGTAAAGCTAGATAATTCCATTTATATTTCACAGATTTTGTCAGAAACTAAATAAATTTTAACGGCATACGAAGACAAAGTTTGCGAAAGTGAGACTCCGTTAGTGGGAATTGGAAAGAGTAAAGGTTTGAATGTCAGTAAGACAGGTATGGATCCAACGTAATTTGTAAGTTGGCAATGATTTACTGTAAAATAACTGAAATTCAGTTATTTTAATTTTCAGTATATTTAATTTTGCTTGTTAAAATTAATTTAATCCGTTGGTACATTATTCGGAGATAAATAAATTGGTTAGTTAGTTAAATAAATTCATCATGGAGGAAAACGGTCACGAAAGTAAAAGGCTGAAATTGTCACAAGAGGTAGAACCGGTAGCAGTAGTAGATTTGACGCCGAATTCGCCACCGACGACGACCACCCCAAAACTTCCTGTGTGTCAATTTGGCGACAAGTGTTATCGCAGAAATCCTGCTCATTTGACAGAATTTTTTCACCCATTGCGTAAGTAAAAAAACAATAATTGAATACTTTACAAATGGAAAAAGTTTAGTTAATTTTTATAATACTGATTGCATTTCATTCAGTTGACAAAATTTATACGGCAATGTCCAAATCCGGAAATTTTTTCAGCCTCCCTACCGGGTTCGATAAGCCGGGTGTCGAGCGTGCCACGGTACTGGAACAAATTCAAATTTTGAAAGATGCAAAGCAAAAGGCGAACTCCAGTGATGATAAGGCGTTATCATCGTCTTCGTGGTCATCATCCCTCTCCGATATTAGGGAGGAAAGGAAGAGAAAATTTTTAGAATCAAGACAAGAGCAAGGTCAAAGTTCTAAAGCATCGCCGTCATCGTTGCCGGTTAAGATTACGACATCAAGAAAATCCATTCTGGACAGGTGGGAGGAGAGTCGCCCCTACAACTATTTCCTCACCAAGGTCGCCGCCATCCGGCCTGAAGCTGACCCAGTTTTATCAGCAAGTTTTAAAGGTGTATACATCAACTTGTTCACATTTTTTCAATTTTTATCAAAATCTTATTAATATATCGCCTTTTACAGACTTGTTCGACCCATCTCTTGGCGAAATAAGTGCCGTCGCTCACATCAATTTCATGATTGATCCAGAATGGTTAATGGAACAAGTCCACGGGCAACCCGGACTTCAAGAAAAACCCACCAGAATCATATTTGATGGCGTGGCGAAAGATATGCAAGGTTTAGCTGAGGCATATCCGTGGGTTAAAGTTTTCGGGGTCAAGTCTCCCTTTCCGTTTGGACATCATCACACGTGCGTTTGATCAGAAATGCAAATTTCTTCATATTTATTCATTGCGAAAATCTGTGCATTAATTTCCTAATTCCCTTTTACATAGCAAAATGAGCCTTGTCCAATACACCGATTTGTCGATGCGGTTCTTGATCTATACTGCGAATTTGATCGAATCCGACTGGGAAAATAGGACCCAAGGGTACTTGTGAATTTGTATATTTCAATTCGTCATGCGCTTGTCATAATTTTGAGTATAATTTTTATCAGAATCTGGATAAGTCCACGTTGTCCAAAGATGCCTGTTTCTTCATCTTCTTCTGATGGCGATTCCTCAACAAAATTTAGATCCGACATGATCCAATATTTATCAACTTATCCAGTCCAAGCTACCAGGGCGTGGATCGATATAATCAAAGGGGTCGATTGTTCAGAGATAAAGTAATTATTTATTTATCCGTCATCATAATTATCTTGATTTTCAGAGTATAATTGAAATAATTATTAGAGTTTACCTAATCGCGTCTGCTCCTGTGACGGCAAATTCTGGTACGTCAGGGTTTCAGTGGGGGAGCTGTAAAATGGAAAAAGTTCTAAAATCTGTGGTTGATGAAGAAACTGATCCTTCCTGGCCGTTGGTTATACAATGTTCATCAATTGGTAATTAACCAACATTGTCAGCTCTTTATTATTAGTGAATTATGTTCTGACACACTTCAATTGTAGGCACGCTAGGCAAAGGATTAGGCGATTGGGTTGAAAGCGAATTGGGTACCGCATTTGCAGGAAAGGATCGCGTACAGAAGGGTCCGATTCATTTGGTTAGCAAAAAATAAAAAAAATTAGCAATCCAAAAATGCATATCAATTCTTAATTTCATAACTTCCTGGTTGCAGATTTACCCAAGTTATCCTAACGTCAAAGCTAGCTTTGAAGGACTCCATGGCGGAGGATGTCTTCCATACTCGGCCTCCACCCATAAGAAGCAGACCTGGCTGGATAAGTATTTATGGTACTTTTAAATTTCTAACACATTTAAACAAAACTACACATTGTAATTAATATAATTAACAATTTTAGTCAATGGAAAGCCGATCGGTCCGGAAGATCCAGAGCAGTGCCACACATCAAGTCCTACTTTAGAATGTCGCCAGAAAGTGGGGTCAGAAAACTTGCCTGGTTTCTCCTCACGAGTGCGAACTTGTCGAAAGCTGCGTGGGGAAAGTTAAACAAAACCAGAGATCGGTTATCAGTCATGTCGTGGGAGGCTGGGGTGTTATTCGTTCCGCAAATTATGGTACCTATACAATGTCATTAACTTAACATTAATTTTACAGATAGTTCATTCATTGTTTTCTATATATCTTGTTTTCCATCAGGTGTCACAAAATCACTTCCGGATAGATACAGATTCCTCATCATCAGGATCAAATTCTTCTCCACCACCGCCCCCATTTCCACTCCATGTCGACATCCCCGTCGTAAAATATGGAAAGGATGATCCTCCCTGGTTTTTTGAAATTTTGCAAGCTCTAATTTCACAAAGTTCAAGCTAGCCGAAGGTTTTACGTACCACGTAAATTCATGCGTACCTTATCTTCTTATACTATTATGAACCTGTTCTACCAATTAATTGTGAATTTCACAAAAAATCAAAACAATATTTTAATGAAACTTAAACTATAAAACTAAACTATAAAATACAACTCGAAGAAAGAACAGTCCCATTCCAATCTCGCCATCCATCCAAGTACACATTCTAAAATTATACCAACTTTCTTCCTCTGATTTATTAGGTTTAATTTAGACTGGATTAGTGCACAGTATGCTACATCCACATCCACCCCGTGGGATTCGGGATTCGCTTCCTTGCTTCCGATGTGAATTTGAATTACAGAATCTAAATCTCGTCTCACTCCCCAATTCCCGATACCAAAGTCATCCCTTGCATGGAAAATGAGATTGTATGATTTGGATTCGTCTACACTTCTCCAACACTGTAAATAAGGGTGAATTAGAAGAATCCTTGTTGGTTGGTTGGGTACACCCGGGTAGTAAAAACCGGCTTATTTCCCACCCGGCCAGACACAAAAGTTAGCCGTATTGTGATTAGCATAATATTTCTATTCCAATTGATCTCGTTGGGTGGGTCGGGTCGGGTTCGTCGTCGGGGCAGAAGAATTCTCATGTAAATAATTTCATGCTTCCAAACTACATCTGCTGTTCACCCTGCTAAATAAATCAGAAATCTACTCCATATTTAGTAATAAAATAATGCCTGGATTTGGATTCATCCATCCAACCCGGTAAAAGCCAGCAGCTTGTGACTATATTTCATACAGTTTTATGCTCTCTTGATCCCATTTCTAATCCGACATGATCCACTCCAACTTCAAATCAGTTTCAGGAGCGTTGTTTTTTATTTCATGAAAAATTACATGAAATGAAATCATTCATACAAGTTTAGTTTATTTATGCACTCATCTCACTAAAAGTCCAGATTTACTTCCTTCCTAGCCCTAAAATTAGCCTGTCCTTCTCTTCCTTCCATCCATCCATCCAAATCTCCAAGGTCCAGTCAGCATTCGTCTAACGAACCATTCTTCAAATCCACACCATCATCATCTCGCTTTAGGTTTATTATCACGGTCACCTCAGCAGGGTCCCTGCCTCCAAAACCAGCACCACTTCTTTCTTCTACCCCTTCATCTCCATCCTTGATTTGTTTGTTAGTAAAAACTTGAAGGTACTTACGTACGCACAACGAGGTACACTTGGCCTTCATTAAGGCACTCACTCCTCAAGGATTTCAATTTCCCAACAGTCAACAGACACACTTCTTCCCAATAAAAACCAATACAATTCCCGACAAATTACTGTGCATGTACATACAAAAAACACTAATAATGACTTCTTTTTACTCAATCAGCAAATTGGCCGCATTTATTACTATCTACCCCAAATCATCCATTGCGCACACTTAAATATTCATAAATCCAACCCTTTTCCACCTGCCCTCGTGTACATAATATCATTCATTCCGTAAAACACTTGGATGCTTCCAAACTAGGTCAAAAACTGACATCCACCTCATTAAAAATTATCCAATCATTCATCCCCCACACGTTTCGAGGAGATAACATTGCATGATGTAAATAGGTAGGTACTTGCACGTACTATTTTTCGTGCGAAAAAGACCCTCTTTTTTGCACAGACAACAATGAGCAACATGCAATTATTTGCATCCCTCCCATCACCACCACGAAAAATAATTCATTCCTAGAATAATAATATCCCATCCGCCGAGACGAGACGAGCTATAACCTACATTTAATAATCTTTGTTCTTTCTCTCTTTCCATGCCAAACCAACCCTACACGTGGAGGAGCTCGTCGTCGTCTCACATGAAATTAATCAACCCTTTTCTTCTTTGTTTTGATAAAAAAAATTGTGTAAGATCCAACCATTTTGTGATCTTGTCTCTGGTAGATAATCATAAAATTGGTAATAAATTGTTACCCAAAATTTTCCACCAGATTCAGCTTTATCATCCTACTGAGAAATTGATTGGGAGAAAACTTGGCAATTTTTTACCCAATAATTGTTACCAGTTTTCTACCATACCCGGTGACAAGTTTGTTACCACATTACTGCATATTTCCAGATGCATAATTCCACATCATTTTTATTTTTCAACCCTTTCCTCTCCCTAAATAACAAGTCTCCCTGCACACTACAGAGCCAAACCACCAGTCAGGCACGTTTCCTTCCTTGTCCAATATCCATTGTGAGAGAAAAAACTTTATTTTCATTTCAACCCTTTCGCATCATTATTATCATCATCGTCATCGTCATCATCATCTGCATGAAGAAAAGGTTGACGGCACACACACACAAAATCCAACCCGACTCTGGTCTGGTCTGGTCCATGTAAAAACAAAAATACATATTCATTGTCAACTTTGTATGTTATTTTAGATTCAAATTTTACACAAATTCAAACACCCGACTGAGCAGGGAATACCATTTTTATTAACCGAATGCCAAATGGAATAATATGTATGTGTGTTGCTCAGTGGCTGCGGAAGCCGTGGGGACATGTGGGACGTTAACATTTCAGGATGGGGGGGAGGGAGGGGTTTACATAAGGTGGGGAGATGATAAGGACTTCAAATAACCGTGGGGACATTGTCCCTCTTTTGTCCCCACGGCTGCTTCCGCAGCCACTGGTATTCGTGTAATACGGAGTCAAAACTTTGTGTAAAAGCTGTATATCATGTCACGAATACGATAAGTTTTCCATGTTACGCATAATAATACAAAATATTCCTGTAACGTAAAACATGACATTTTTTGTCACCCTTCGACACATTTTTGGATATACATATTTACATATACCAAACAAGATCCCTAAACCATGTCCAATTTTATTTTACATATTGTACGTATATTAGTGAATTTATTGTATGCAAATATGCAAATTAGACATTTAAAACTAATACTTCTCTTATTAACGAGGTCTAAAAGTCATTCGACGCATGGTACGGGATGGGATCGTTTATTATGTATTTTACATTACACGAGCGAGGAATATGTATTGTTTCCAATCAAGACTTACTTTTTTTTTTACACTTTTTGTCTCAAAATAATATCCTTGGTCTTATTTTTTTCTTTATTTTTACTTTACCAAGTTAAAAATCAAGGTTGATTTTGACATGTAAAAGCACATCGGCATGACATACGCACTTTTGTTCGTAGGTCAATAAATAGGTAGTCGTCATGCATGGGTACGAGTTATGTGTACGTATTTGTATTTAGGTAAGTAAACGATGCGCCTCATTACGGGGAAAAATTGGGTAAGTTATTGTCCATACGGTGGGATCGTTTCCTGGAAATTGTAATCAAATTGGGATATGTGCACTTATCTGGCATGAGATCAAGAAGTGTGGGATTCGAGTAAATAATGTGGACCATTATGCAGATAAAATACGCATTTTTAACGATTTTTTGGTAAAAGACCAAGTGAATGAAATAAAAAATTGTGTGTTAGACTCATTTTATTAATGCGTACATAATAAATTGTCAAAATTTGCATCAATGTATTTGCAGACATCTTTAATAGCTTGATTTTTAAATTTGCATTTAATTTTACCACAAATTTTTCACAATTATTAATTTTTGTCAAAATTTTTATACATAAGAAAATTTTGGACAAATTATGCAATGTCATATTTGTTCAAAAATTGTATTTGTGCGATAATATAACAATATGTCTTCAGGTTCTGCTATTGTCAAGTTGTTAATTTAGATAAACTAACTTGTGACACGTATCCATCGGATATTTAAAAATATTTTTTCATCTAATTTTCCCACAACTTTTGCTAATATTAAGTTATTTAATTTTACTGATGCCTAGATAAAGTGTCGAAAAAGTGACATTTACTAAAAGTTTATTCATTGCTAAGGTTCAACACCGCATGCAATATACCTGATGTTCCATTCCATATTAAACAATGCCAGATTTTAACTCTATCTCGAATAATTTCATAAACAAATTAAATCACTTAAATTTCTCGAAAAAGTAGAATCTCTCAATCGACTTGTGTAATCAATTCCTCTTCTCCAGCAGCAATGTGTATCTCACATCATCATCCTTTTCATCTCCAACAACCAAACTTACGCATGTATTTTCCCTCCAATTCTTGTAATCATCCATATCGTATAGTAACAAACAGCCAAGCCACCAAGAATCACACCCACCAGGCCAGGCCACTAGTTGCATGCAGCAAAATCCCAACCTCATCTTCTCATAATCCGAGAACAAAGAAGAATACGTCTCAAGTAACAAACTTCTTCTTCCAACCGTCAGCAAGAAATCAGGCGACCAGTACCCACGAAATAATGTGGTAACAAAATTGGCACCGGATTTACAGTCAAAATACGTTGGTAGCAAAATTGGATTTATAGCCACTGAAATTTGTCACCGAATCGTGAACTCAAATTTGACACCGTCCGGTAAAAAATTTGGCAAGTTTTTTATGCAAGTTTCAGGGAAATTTGTTACCAAATCGTTACCAACGCGGTAGAATGGCTAAACACAGCAAACATTTTGTTACCAACTTATTTCTGGTGTAACCACTCCACGGATTCGTTATTAGCAATTGCCCAAAATGTATCCCAAAAATTGATTCCAGCTCGGTAACAAATTACAATTTCTTGTTACCACACAATTTTTTAGAGTGTATCCAGATATCCGACCCCGTCTTAAATATCGTGCCATCCCATCCCAGATATTTATATTTACTACTTGTAGCTCCCTACATAAAGCAGGTAGTAACTAAAAAAGACGAGCAGAAGATGCTCTCGGAGAAACATGAGCTTCAAAATCTCGTCCCTTTTTCCAGCAGCTCAACAACACAATATTCTTCACTTTATCAACCATCCATGTGTACATATAACTTAACGATGGCTTAGTTTCCTTCCTCGTGTTTGACGATGACACAAAAAAACGGAGAAGAAGAAGCCTTCAAGGGTTCTTTCCTGATGAGGGATGAGATTTTACATTTCAGTCGAGCTGATCAACTCCTGGCACAATTGGAAACCTTTCAAATCCATTTTTCATCTCATCTCTCGAAACAAATATTATTTGTTAACTTGTCGCATCTCGCTCGGGATGGAGGATGAAATGGATATGAAAATCTTGCAG